AGCCCCAGTCTCATTCTGTTCACTGCTTTCAGGGGCGGTTCTGCTTGGCGATTACCTTTTTGCTGTTTGAAACAGCTGCATCGCTTCCCTGCTTCACACACTGCAAGTTTTCATAGGGCCCGGGAGGAGTTCTGAGGGAACCTCAAACATCTGTGAAACATGGAGTTAATAGAGAAGTTTATTTTGGTGCAAAAAAGTTTTGAAATCATACATAGGAAGGGTCTTCAAAAAGTTTATTAAAACACATAGAATGATGCATTGATTTCAGCATTCTTTTGCAACAAAATGAACTGATTTTTAAATTGTGTCTTCCATGAACTTTTCCAAGTTCTCTTGTATCAGAGTTTCCTTGAGGACTACTGGCAGGTAAACAGTTAAGATTGTTTGGAATTTGACCTTTTGCCTTTCTATGTCCTGTGATCAAAGACAAACTGCTTAATCTCTGTGTATCTGTTTTTATTCCCTCTGTATCATGAGAGTAATTGAACCTGACTCATATAGCAGTTCAGATGGTTCAGGAGAAAATACACAGGGGCTTCAAAAAGTTCATGGAAATGTGTATTACGAGAAAACTACAAATCAATGTCAAACTTTTTCACTGACAAATTTATCTTTTAATTCCATTATCCCACAACTTTTTGAAGAATCCTTATTTATGTGTGGATGTGGTCACTTTGCTAGATGTAGACTTCTTATGTTGTTTTCTAATAAGTCATTATTAAATTTCATTCTCAAAAAGCAATAAAAATAAAATAATTTAATCAGCAGAATATCCAATCTATTAATTTAAAAAAAAATACTTCTATCTTAAAACCCTGGATATGGTAAGAGGTTGGCCAAATCGAAGTGTTCTTGTTTTCAGTTTGGCTCAGTCCCAGATGTATAGTTTCGTCAGTGAATCTCTTTATAACCTTCTCTTACCAATCCTGCCTCTGCATTTGATCATACTTTCACTGGGTTCAGGGTTGCTCATGGGCCTGCTGCTAAGGGGAGGGTGGTGGTGAGGGCCGGTGCTGGCTGCTGGCTCTGTGAGTATATGGCACAGTTAATGGCCTGGAAGTCTTGGGCAGCAGGTGTCCTGTAAGGTGCTGTGAGTTTTGTCACATTATGCAGTCAGTTTACCATGCCTGGCTTCTATGGGCTGAAATCACGAATGTCTACCTTCAGTGGCTTCTTGAGCTTACAGAGCTTACAACCAGTGCCCACCTGGCTATCAGGAAGTAAGGGGCAAGGAGTAAAGATAAACATCAGCTTTTTGACACCGTGTTTTGCTGGCTCCAGGGAGTGAATGTGTAGGTCCTGCAGCTCTGCCAGCTCCAGAAGTCAGGGCCTGTCTTGATGGTCTCAGGTGCCCCCAAACCAGAGGAAGCAAACCACACAACACTCCTAGGCTTTCGCCATCTGAATACCCAAACCTTGATGCTTTGAATTTTCCAGTGCCTTTTACTTTTCCAGATGGCAAAATGCACCAATCCGGTTCTGTCTTATGTGTCCCCTGGTGGGAACTGGGAGTCTGCCTGGTGTCCGGACTCCATTTGAACTATGTATTGGGGTCTTCATTTTCAGTTGAATAGCTACAGTTGGAACACCTTGCTTGTCCTTAATTGGGGATGGCGTAACTGGTGGTTAAGGAAATTGGAAAATAACTCCCTCACTGATGTTTTACATGGGCATTTTACCATTTTAAATCACTAAACCTCTTGAACTTACTAAGGACACAGTTACTGCGAACAGTTCTTCACCATTCTGTTGACAAAATTAGGCCTCAAATCTTTCATTGTTGTATTTTCTGTAAGCTGTGAACTCCACAGGGCAGCCCCGTAGATGTTACAGAAGTGGCAATGTCCTCGTCTGTTATACAGCAGCAGAGCTGCCAAATTTAGCAAACAAAAATGCAAGATTCTAAGTTAAAATTAAACTCACAATAAACAACAAATACTTACTAAAGCATAAAAATGTCCTCTTCAGATTAATACCGTATTTTTAAAGTTATCTTACAAATACTGCATGTCTGGCCTGCAAGTTTCTTTTTTAAGACTTATTTATTTATTTGAGAGGCAGAGTTACAGAGAGGCAGAGAGAGAGAGAGAGAGAGAGAGAGAGAGAGAGTCTTCCATCCGCTGGTTTACTCCTCGTGTGGCCGCAACAGCTGGAGCTGCGCCAATCTGAAGCCAGGAGCCAGGAGCTTCTTCTCGGTCTCCCACGTGGATGCAGGGGCCCAAGGACTTGGGCCACCTTCTACTGCTTTCCCAGGCCATAGCAGAGAGCTGGATCAAAAGTGGAGTAGCCAGGACTTGAACCAGCACCCATATGGGATGCTGGCGCTGCAGGTGATGGCTTTACCCACTTTGCCACAGCACCAGCCCTGTCCTGCATTTTATGTGCCATGTACCTTCCCTCTTCCACTCATAGCTTAAAATGGGTCCTTTATCTCATATGTGAGGGCCACTCTCCATTACCATGCTACACCAATATTATGTCTATCTGAGCCTAAACAACTACTTTTGAGAATAAAAAGCTCAGAGGTGAGTGAGAGGGAGACACAGCCAAGGTCCTTACCTTAGTCCCCTGCTGTCAGTGCACTGGACCAAAATGAGCACCAATTCAGTAAAAGGTCATGAGACAGCAAGAAGAGCATCTATTTTCCCATCTGTTCAGTCCCGAAGAACACTGATACCTGAAAAGCTTAGGGTAAGCTCTGTTCTCTTAGGAAGCTTGAGAAATGTTCCAAGCCTTTGCAAGTTTCTAATTAACCTGCTGGCGCTTTCATGTCAAACTGTGAGATTAGTCTTCCATCTTTTAAAAGGACTCAATTTCACATGTCACCTGAAAAGGGAAAATATGTTGGCCTTTACAGACGGTTACTGAATTTAGAGAATATCTATTTTCAAATTCAAATCACGGCCACTTGATAGGGCTGCCTTTAGAGCGTCAGCCTCAGCTTTGGAGATGCACTCTGACTCAGAAGGAGGGTTTCTGCCTCTCGGAGTTCTCTGTTGAAAGCCATCATCGCTAGTATTTGTTTCTGGGATCTGCCACTCCTGGAAGCTGTTGACCCTTCAGAAGGTGATGAAAACAGTTTCCGCATGGGAAGCATCCTTTTAAGAGTTCAAAGGGAAAGAACAGGCATATTTTGAGTGTTTGTTATTGGTGACGGACTGGTGCTTCCTATATATTTCGAATCCAACTAATAGCTTAGAGAAGGTGACAGAGCTAAGCAGTTTCACTTGGCTCATGAGAGTGTCTGATTCTGAGAGTGCTTTCTCTAAAATAATTCCATTTACAGTCTTCACCTGAAGGTGCTTTGTCTTTCGTGATTCTGAAATCCACTATTCACTTAAAATAGTCTATGGTGATTCCTTGTGTAGCTCCAATGTTTTATTTCTCTTGAGAGAGTGATCACAAGTTCTTCTCCACAATATTTTCAAAATCCACTTTTGAAATAAACAACTTGAAATAAAAAAAACTTTTGAAATAAACACTTGAAATAAAAAACTTTTGAAATAAACTTTTATTTTGAATAAAACAGTGCACATTTGTGGATATCCATCAACCCTCGCATGTGCTGTGCATTTAATGTTACATGTAAAGTGTAAAGAATCTTGGAATTTGAAGAGTTCAACCCTTAACCTAGTGAGAGCGTCTCATTGTTCCTTCTGTTAGAATAATTAGGAACAGGAGGCCCATGAACTTCCTTTAAGTAGTAAATAGCAGTTGGAGATGAAGTCTGCGTGATGAGTTGGTGCCTGGCCCCAGGAACTTTGACTGCCCCTGAAGCCGCATAAATACACTGGATCCTTCCCCCTGGAACCCAAGCCAGGTGCCACTTCGGTCAGCTAACTTCTCAACACGTTCATGGCATGGAATCCTCAATATATAACTCTCAAACAGAGTGTGGTACTAAAACTGGTTTTGAATTATATGCAAAAGGGAAAACATACAAAAGAGTGATGCATTACAGTGTATTATATAGGGGATAAATATATACATCCTTACCTACCAGGACACTTTGAAGAGTTCCTGGAAACACTGGAAAGATAAGATTATTTTGGTGCAGAAAGTTGTGGTTTTTTTGAAATCTATGTATCTTTTCTTCATAACACACACTTCCCATGAGTGGATCCCTACCACTGTAAACACAAATTTCAAATGTTTCACGCTATAATAAATGTATATTTTCTTTCCATTGCCCATGAGCTTTTGTAAGTACTCTTGCATTACGGGAAAAAACATGCACAGATTTCACATTTTTTTAACCAAAATGAGCTTATCATTTAATTCAATTTTCTGTGAACTTTTTGAAGTCCTCTTTTATGAATACTTGTACGTGCATACACAATACACCAATGCATTTTTTTTTTTATTTGACAGGCAGAGTTAGACAGTGAGAGAGAGAGAGAGAGACAAGGAGAAAGGTCTTCCTTCCATTGGTCCATCCCCCCCCCCCCCAATGGCCACTACGGCTGGTGCGCTGTGCCGATCCAAAGCCAGGAGCCAGGTGCTTCCTCCCGGTCTCCCTTACGGGTTCAGTGGCCCAAGCACTTGGGCCATCCTCCACTGCCCTCCTGGGCCACAGCAGAGAGCTGGACTGGAAGAAGAGTGACCGGGACTAGAACCCGGCACCCATGTGGGATGCCGGCGCCGCAGGTGGAGGATTAACCAAGTGAGCCATGGCGCCGGCCCCCCAATGCATTTTTATATGTTTTCTATTAAATGGGACCTAATGGGCCCATTAGCTGAGTTCTAAGTCATGTCTGAGTTCGTTTCTGGGTTCTCCCTCTAACATGGAAGGGAGTAGAACTGAGTGGGGTCAGCAGTCAGTGTTCCTGTTGGATGTTAAGCATTTTGCCAAAAGGCATTAAAATATCTGTTTCCCCCTCAGAAATGATCTAGCGTGTATGTTCAGGGTTTCCCGTGTAGAGCAAGGCACATCCGCCACTGTGACCCCCGGGTCCGCGTGCACCCATAATCACCGTTTGCACCTCTCTCCCGCCCCGCAGATCATCTTCCGCAAGATCAGCGACGTGAAGAAGGAGGAGGAGGAGCGCCTCAGGCAGAAGAACGAGGTGACGCTCAGCATCCCCGTGGACCACCCGGTGAGAAAACTCTTCCAGAAGTTCAAGCAGCAGAAGGAGCTGCGGAACCAGGGCTGCACGCAGAGCGACCCCGAGCGGAGCCAGCTGCAGGTGGAGAGCCGCTCCCTGCAGAACGGAGCCCCCATGACAGGCACCAGCGTGGTGACCGTGTCCCAGATCACGCCCATCCAGACGTCCCTGGCCTACGTGAAGGCCAGCGAGTCCCTCAAGCAGAACAACCGAGACGCCATGGAGCTCAAGCCCAACGGCGGGGCTGACCCCAAGTGTCTCAAAGTCAACAGCCCCATTCGGATGAAGAACGGAAACGGGAAAGGGTGGCTCCGGCTCAAGAACAACGTGGGCGCCCACGAGGAGAAAAAGGAAGACTGGAATAACGTCACCAAAGCCGAGTCCATGGGGCTGCTGTCGGAGGACCCCAAGGGCAGCGATTCCGAAAACAGTGTGACCAAAAACCCGCTGAGGAAAACGGACTCCTGTGACAGTGGAATTACAAAAAGTGACCTTCGTTTGGATAAGGCTGGCGAGGCCCGCAGCCCCCTGGAGCACAGCCCCGTCCAGGCCGAAGGCAAGCACCCCTTCTACCCCATCCCCGAGCAGGCCTTACAGACCACACTGCAGGAGGTCAAGCTGGAGCTGAAGGAGGACATCCAGCTGCTGAGCTGCAGAATGACTGCCCTGGAGAAGCAGGTGGCAGAGATTTTAAAAATACTGTCCGAGAAAGGCGGGCCCCACGCCTCGTCTCCCAGATCCCAGATGCCGCTCCAAGTACCTCCCCCGATTCCGTGTCAGGATATTTTCAGTGTCTCAAGGCCTGACTCGCCCGAATCCGACAAAGATGAAATCCACTTTTAATATAGATATATATAAATATATATACACATCTATATTTGTTAATATATTGAAGCAGTATATACATCTATATACATATGTGTGTATATACAGTATATATATATATATATTTTCACTTGCTTTCAATATGAACACAATATGGATTTTGATATGTAAATATTGCATGTCCAGCTGGATTCTGGCCTGCCAAAGAAGACAATTATAAAAGACATAGATATTGCTTGTATATTATGCAGTTGACTGCATGTACACTTTATTTATAATCTCTATTCTAATAAAGAAAAAAGTATGATTTTTGTTAACTAAGGCAATGTAATATTTGAAGAATCAGGGTCCAACCTGCCAATGTTGCCGTGACAAACTTGATCTCAGGCCGAGTACATTGAGCTGTGTCATTTTCTCACTGTTCTGTTAAGTTAAAATTGCAGATGAATGCCAAGGAAGAGTTCAACCTTTGAAACTGTTAGAACCATTTTATGATCTCTTTCCATAGGATGTATTTCTGTAACTTAGTGTTAGGTTATTTTCCTCTACAGTGTTTGCTCCATTTAAATGACTGTTCTGTTGCCTAAGGCAGATAGCGGTGTGGGTTATCGAGAACTTGTTGCTATGGGTTTTGTGCATGAATTGCATTTTTGCTCAACTATACCTCTCCTTTTTTAACATTATACATAGATAGTAGTCATTAGCTCTTACGTAAGGCTATCCCTACACCCTCCGTCTTGGAGAACAGCTGTCACCTTGTAAGCTGACGTTATCAACACCATAAATACTAAACTATTAATATAGTGTACTCTATTATAGAAATACTGCACCACAGGGTATAAGCCTTTTAATAATTCATGTTTGAGATAGTGATTTTCTAAAGGTGATGAATGTTCTAAGTTTGTATTTCCAAAACTTGTTCAAGAGTGAAGTTGTCAAAGGCTCTTAGCAAAGAAGCGTACGGAAAAAAAAAAAAAAGGATTGAAATAACCACATGAAGATTTTTAACTATTGTGATAAAAATAGAACCAATAATGTAAACAGATGGACACTTTTTTGTAGCATCTGTGTAACTTGGAATGAAACACAGGTGCAGAATTGTAGGCAGGTGTTTCCGTTTGTAAAGATAACACATGAAATGTAAACAAAGCAACCAACCAAGAAGCAGATGTTAAGTTGCTCAATGAGATAACTGTTTTCTATTATTTTATTCTGGTTACAATTTTATAAAGCTTTTTAGCACACAGTTCTGCTGAGTTGTTACAAGAGACTACAGTGACGAAAGGGGAGAACTGAGGACTGAATTTCCTAGTCTTTTGGATCACAAATCCTCTTCTTAGAAAGTGCCTATTATCAACTAAGAAAAAAGTCACAAAGAATTGTGTTGTGCATGGCTAATCTCTTCAGTGATCTGCATTGAGAACAAAGTAACACATTCGTTGTAGGAACTCAGGAGAATTTTCCTTTGACTGAGATTTATTTGATGAAGTTGGTGGGAAAGGCATACTTTTCAATTGGTGCATGAATACCATTTAAGGTTGGAAGCAGGGGAGTTTATGTTCGCATCAAGTTGAAAATTAACACTAGTAATTTGTATATTATTGGACCATCTGTACAGACACATTGACAACATGCAAATGATGAGAGGGAGCTATTTTGGCCTACTGTACTCATTTTTATGGGCTTTTCTAACTTTCCCTCAGTAACCCCAAACCAAAAGTCACCAGATCTGAAAGACAAGTTACTGCAATCAGACTGGAGTAGTGCAACACAGTAATTTATAGAAAAAACAGTTGCTATTTTAGAAATTTCTATTAGAACTTGCTTACACGCCTACAAGATGTGCCTCTCTAATCCCCGAGTCTCAGAACATGTGTTGTGTGCATGGGTTCCTTATTCCCTACTCGGTGCACGTAGCATCCTTACCTTCAATAGAAATTTGTAGGGGAACAGGGCTCTAAATTTTGCTACAATGTCTACCTATCACAGGTAACAGTAAACAGCCTTGCAACTGGAATTGTGTCGTTTCCATGGTGAGGATGATACCTTTATCTTGACATTTGACATTTATTGCATTTCAGGATATTTTTCTATTTGTTAAAGTCAGGTTTGGCTAAAGCTTTAAAATGAGTGGAAAAATATGATCAGAGTACAGCAGCTGTCAGTTTGGCCATTTGCTTCAAGAATTGTTGGTGTAAGGCTGTGGGAGAATGACTGAAATAGCAGGAAGATGTGACGTTGCAATCCAAGTCTTTGCAGGTTAGAGGTGCAGATATTTGCTGCATTCTGACATTCACTCTGAGTGTTTCCTAATTGACCTGTTTTGAATATTTTCTTGTTCATATGCACGGGAAAGAAATGCAATGGTTTTGAGCCATTCTAGCTGTCAAGAAGTGGGAGACCATATCAGGAGTTTATTTATGGTGCGGTTATCCCAGTATTCTATTCCAGCCACCTCTCTGTGTGTGCATGATACGATGTGGTGCTGAGTGCACTCTGCTGTTTCCAGCAGAAATGCATGTGTTCAGCAAACACTGTATATAGAGCAACTTCTTAGGTTCCCAGAGTCCATAGTTCTTCACAGTAGGATTTACTCACATTTTAATGGAGGGTGAACACTTGCTTTAATACATGCAATAATGTTACAGTCATGTTCTGTGTTGCCACAACCAGGACAAAAAGCAAATAGAAGCTCTTTACCACACAATTGCATGCTTTATTCCTACACTGTATAGATGCTCCCAGTGCATCCAGAATAAAATTTCTACTACTATATTTCTGAACAATGTACTAATAGGAATCAATGGCTATGTACTTAAAATCTGAACATTTTCCAAAGTAACATACATGCCTTCAATATTTTCTATGATAATATGTAAGATCAGATGCTATATCCTGGACAGATGGTTGTAACATAATAGCAAAAGCCAAATAGAAATGGAAATGTGAGCTATGCATCATAAGAAGCAAGTTTATCAGTCTACAGCAGGATGTTGTTGTACCAGATGTGACCTAGAAGAGCTTATGATAAAAGGTGAATAGTCACACAAAAGGCAGATGACAATATCAAAATATCTCGTGTCCTGCATTGACATGAATGGTGCTTAAAATGGATCAGGGATAGTGGTCAACTATAGAATCATCCTTCATTGTTAAAACGGAAAAAAAAATTGTATTCTGCTACTGGGGACAAGCAACTATATATATGGATCACTGGAAAGAGAATTTGAAAAATTGGCTTTAAGTTGCTCCTAGGACAGACTACTTAATGTCCTCTTGCAGTAGTACCCTGCACTTATGACCAGTAACTAAGTGTGACTTTGAAACTTGCCCTTAATAGAGCCTGAATGCAAATCACATTTTCCCTGAAATTTGAGGACATTTAATTACTTAAATGTAAGGAGATTTGGTCCATTTGACCTAATATTTTAAATAACTGGATCGTTTTTGAAAGGTTTTTAGAAAATTCATCTTCAAAGCAGTGACTGTGTTGAAGTGTGCAGTGGTTGATACTTGCAAAATTGTTTGTCTTATTTCTGATGATTCTGCAGCTTTGTATAATTTATGTCTTTTAAGATATTGTCTCTGCATCTTTTTTCCAAAATTTCACTCATTTAATGAGAAAATGTGTTTAGAATGCAGATGTCACACATGGATAATTTTAAAATTTTGTAATTATGCGACTGCACTTTAACATTTCATTGTTAGATTTGAATATTTCTCTTGTGTTCTTGATAGAAAGGAGGAAAAAAATAATTTTCAAAGTAGTAATTTAATTATTATTTTCTTATTTGAGTTGCAGAGAGACAGAAACCTCCCTCCACAGGTTCCCACCCCAAATACCCCCAATGGCCAGGGCTGGAGGCAGGAGCTGGGGGCTCAATCCAGCTCCACCATCTAAGTTATGCAGACCCAGTCACTTGAGCCATCTCTGCTCTGTCTTGGGATCTGCACTGGCCGGAAGCTGGAGCCAGGAGACAGAATCTGGGTATCAGCCCTGGGCACCCCAGCGTGGGATGTGGCACCTTAACTCTTGGCCAAATACCTGCTCCCAAAAAGTATCTTTTGAAGCACACCCTAGGATAAATATCTGAACTCTGTCTTGGATTCTGAATCCAGCTTTGCCGCAATCTAATAGTGTGATTGTGGACAGGTTAACTCTTAATTTTGCCTAATGCTTTGATTTCCCCCTCCAATGGATAGTAAAACAAAAATAAGATCTGATCCCTTCTTGTAGCAAGATGTTCTCGAGTTATTGGAAAAATCATTTTTCGTTCACATGAAGACCACATCAAGACAAACCGCCTTTTTCTTTTTTTCCTTTCACGGATTGTTAAGCCACAAAGTGTTCTCTATCTAAATATTGTTAGGATTTAGGAGGGATTTCTCTGGTCAGAAATTGGTGATGAGAGGCACAGGTTGCTAAATAATTATTAATGTCATGTAAACAAAAGATTTACTAATTATCTAGGAATTTAGAATCAAATAAACATGGAAAGAATGAAAGTCCTTTGAGGGAAAAAAAAAGCAGACATGGGCAAATTTCATGAGTCTTCTTTTTCTACTTTATCATTCTGCTCAGCTGTCATTCTCAATTTTGTGTAAAAAAAGTGTGCATGTCGGTAGGTACTCAAGATATAGAGTAGTCCATCTTTCAAGTTTTTATACAAAAGAATCACGGCTCACTCAAGATTTCTGTGATTCCACAAGGGCAAATATTTTTAGAACAAAAATCTCAACTATGAAAAAATTTCTGTTGACCAGTGTATTTCTCAATGTCTGAGGGTACTTCGAAATGTTAATGGAAAAATGGATTTAAAAGATACGCTTACTTTAGTGAAAAAAAAAAATAGTTGAGATCCATGCATGCCTTTTTCAGAATACACATTTTCCGTGAACGTTTTGAAGAAGGCTTCTGTGCATGGATTTTAAAACTTTTGGAACCAAATTCAGCTAATCTTTTAATGCCATTTTCCACGAACTTTTTGAAGTATCAGTTATCTTGAACTGAAAAGAAATAGGCTAAAAAAATAAAAATCTTTTGAAAAATCCAGTAAGGTTTTTGCGTTCTAAGTGACAACGTTTTAACTTAAAGTTAGATGAAAATATTGGTAATACAAGGATGTCACTTACAAAACATGAACATTTTGAGTATTGAAAATGGGACGTATTTTGTTAATTCTGCAGACATCCTGCTGTCTGTAGGGCTGCACTCCACAGTGACTGCCTTGACTGTGCCCCTCTGCATAGAGAAAACAAGAGCCCAGGGAAAGAAAGGGGCAAAGTGCATGCACAGGACGGAATATTTCCATTTGCATCACTCATTGAGTTTTTCTAATCTATTCAGCAAACCACAAGTTAAAAGCTGTTATTATAAATTAGGAATTAGATATTTTTTGAAACTGGACACAGTTTCCCAAATTGAAGAAGGATTAGTTGTAAATGGCTTCTATTTCTGAGAAGGGAAGTTAAAGGAGGTTGAAGGAGATTGGTCATCAGTGACCCTTGCTTTTTAGATCCACTGTGATCCTTTCTACTTACTTGCTAAGTGCTTGGTAACATTTATATTTTAATCTCCCATGATGAGTCCCTGACATTCTAACTCATGACTGCCCTACATATGTATTCTACACATATGTAAATAAATATGTTCAATCAATTTGTTCTCAGTGTAAACTTTGTATTTATAGCATAAACGTTGTTAGCAGCTTGCATAACAAAACTCTGGTGACTATGGGGTGACTTTTTTTAGAATTTCTGTATGCATAGTTCTTTCTCATAGTGCGTATTTTCCATGAGCACTTTGATTTTTATTTATTTATTTTCATTCTGTTTCAAAGGCAAAGAGACAAAACAGAAACAGAGACAGAAAGACAGATAGGATTCTTCTATCTGGTTCACTCCCCAAATGTCCACAAAGGCCAGGGCTGGGCCAGATGAAATCCAGGAACCTAGAACTTAATCCTTGTCTCCCACAGGGGTAAGAGGGATCCCAGTGTCTGAACCTCACTGCTGCCTCCCAGTGTGTGCATTAGTAGGAGTATATAATGGGAAGTTGGCCTAGGACTTGAACCCAGGCATTCTGATGTGGTTTGTGGCATCCCAATTGGTGTCTTAACTGCTGCACTAATCTCTTGTCCCTAATTAGAGTCTGCAAAGATCAACATGACATTACAGGAAATCTTCATCTTACTTTAGCCCAGGAAAGCAAACCAAGAGATGATGTTCATGGGGTGGTCAGATCAGAATGAAAGCAAATATTCAGGTGCTAAATAGGTTCATAATACCAAACCACCTGGACTCAAGGGTTTAAACCAGGATTTGCATTTCCATGATTGGAACAAATCTGCAGAGAGAGACACAGTGGAGGTTCAATTTAGATGCATGTAGATTGAATCTCCATGCCATTGGTGATTTGCTGATGCAATCATGTCAACTCTGGCGAGTTTATGGATAACTGTTAGAAATGGTTTTACTTCAGTTTTACAATGCTTTACATCACTTTTATGGACTGTAGTGCATTAAGATGGATCTTCAACATGTTTGTGGAAAATACGTATTTTGAAAAACTATGCATGGATCTGAACTTTTTTTGCACCAAAATGAATTTATCTTTTAATTCCCTTTTTCCAAGAATTTTTTTCAAGTCCCCTCATTTGTGCCACCTCCTGAGTGAGAAAGATTGGCTAAGTCTGTATCTGCCACTAGTTGTAAAAAAAAAACACAACTTAAAAGTACAAATGGAGTCACAACAACAGGGGCATTCAAACAGAAACTAAACCATAGCACCCACGTTTCTTTAGTTATAGCGTATTTTCCCAGTAGCACAGTACCAGTCAAAATAAAAGGACAAATTCAGATGCATTTTGCAAGTATCACTGCCTAATTATTAAATAATAGGAATTACTAGATTTAATGCCATCATAGGACTTGGACAAGAACTAAATTCAAAGATACCTCTATAACATGCATTCTCCCTTAGTATATTGGGTTTTTTATCCTGAAGCAAAGGAGTTCTTAGGGGAGACATTTCTAGTCCCCATAATTCAACTGCTAAGTAATGCGTTTTTAACAGTGAAGCTACAGAATCACCATTGTTCAAGGAGATCCGTGTTCAAGTTTTCCATACCTCTTTGCTGTGAACTTTAGATCTCCAACAAAATACATTTCTCACATTTTATTTTCACAGATTCAATACCTACAAGTTCCATATTAATTGATATTTGTATTCCTTCTTTTGGACATTTGCCATTTTATTTCTCTGCAAAAACATTTACTAATTTTCACCAAGTTTATGGTTTCTTCTGTCCCAATGGTATTATCCAACTTTTCCTACATCAAGTATTTCCAAAACTAGATGCTAAAAATGATGACTGCCATTATCTCTCTTCTTGAAAATAGGAGTTACTCAATATAGTTAACATATTAAAATTGATGGACTTTTCTGATATTAGAATAAAATGCTTACTTTGAATTTCAGTTGCTTAATTTTCCATTCTTGAAACTTTTGTCCTCAAAACACTTACAAAAAAGATTTCAAAAATAAAATTTCTCCCCTGTTAGTCTGTTTCTAACTTGGAAACGAAGGCAGAAAATGGGTGAAATTTGTGGAGGTAAACACTAACCAAATTCTGAATTGTATCTTCAATCTGTTTCCATGATAAAGGAGTTTAATTTAAAATTCCCGTAATTAAAATTACATGATAAAATTTCCAAAGACTACAGTGACAATCAGTTTGGAACCATAAAGTATATGAAGATGAAAAATACTAAGAAAACTAACATCCTTTATTAACAAAGTAATGAACTGAATGATGATGCCTAGTTATATCCAGCAAATCCACATATTAACCATTGTCCATGTTAACTATTATTGATAAGTTTTCTCTTCATGCATTTTAGGCAGACTGGTTTTCAGCCATCTGGTGAAAGCAAAAAAATACCCTTACCCAAGGTCGGAGGCTGCTGCAATTGTACTGAGCCTTCCCACTGTGTCATTATGTCCTCCACCTCTCAAAATGCTTGCAAACACACACAACCAAGGAGTCACCCCCTTTTACATTATGTAAGGCAGCTAGCTTTTTCATTTTATGCAGCACTTAAATATGTTAAATTGCATGCTGGCATTTGGGAGTATTTGAGAAATTATTTCAGCATGGAGAGAGTTGGCGAATGTGTAGGTTGATACCCCAGTTCAGGCGGTGCTGAATTTGTCATTGGCCCTGAGTTTGTTGAAAGCTGAATCATGTCTATAGTGACGAGGGATACAAACTAGCATTCTTTGATGTCTGTTATGCTCTGGATGTTATGAGACTATCGATCTGTTTTCTGTCTCGAAACTTCCTCTTTTTTAAAATGAAAACTGTGTGTTTGTGAGCTCTCTGAGGATCAGGACTGCGGAGCATCTGGGACGGGAATTAGGAAGATGCTGAGAGCTAGGGATGAGAGAATGTTGAGGCAAACTTCTCTCTTTCCACTTAGTCTGAGAAGTCAAATAATGTAATTAAGGTATTTATTATGTTCACTGTGTCATTTACTTAGATGATCACATTTACTTCTTGCTAGAACCTTGTGAAGGAGTATGTGATAGAACTTGTCCAGGGTGGCTCAACTAAGTTGCAATTCTAACACAGACAGTCACACCTTAGAGAGAAACCTTCCTTGTATCCAAGTAGGATAGTGATGCTTGGAAGACTGTTTAGTCCAGTCCCAAATACTAAGTCTTTTTAGACCTATACTTTTACACCTGCTTAAATCAAGATATTAAAAAATATGCTTTGTAATGTAAAGGTGTGATTTCCCATGGGAGGTCGGAGTGAATGGCAGAAGTTGAAATCATACATGTAAAGCAAAAGAGGCCCTGTCCCCAAAGTGACGTTTTCCTGACCTCTCCCAACAGTTGATAGGCATCAGTGGAGACCAATGGGCAAACGTGGTTATAAGGAAGAAGCAGTGTTGATATATGGTCACTTACCATCAACATTCCCATCCCAGCTGAATTTTAACCTAAAAAGGTAATGAATGGTACTTAAGCAAAACAAGTGAGGTTTATGGATTTTTCCTATAATTTCTTTTTATTTTTAACACTGGAATTTAGATGAGACTCCAGAAAAACTTTTAAAAAAATGTTCTGATCCACTGAGTTTTAAGTAATTGTTCAGATATTTTTATTGATTGCACTAATGTTGTCTTTTTGGCCAAACTGCTCTTAAGTGTATTATCCAAATGAACTATTTCGGCTTAGAACGGCAACATTTAATGAGCTTGTGGTCTGTTTATTTATTTCAGGGAGATTTAATAATGTTTTCTAATGAGAAATTGCTAATTTTTACAATGTGATTAATTTGTTCTACCCTTTGAGAATTTTAAAGCGTATGTCTTTAGATGAAGAGGAAAAACAGGATACTACTCTGGGAACCTCACTTTGATCTTAACAGGGCCAGAGGTAGCTGGGAATAGGAGTGCCCTACTTATTTGATAACTGGGAAGGACCCCAGCTGATGCCATCCTAGCCTTTTTCTAGTGAGTTCTCTTCCATCCCTGTTTATTAACACAACTGTTGCACTATTATTTAAAGGATGTCTTAGCATGAGCTGTTTGTAGAGGCATTTGGTCACAGAACAATTAACTAAAAGGTGCAATGGTAGGCCAGAGTTCTAAAGGAGGAAAAGAGAGACAGGGCAGGGGTTAGCCCTGGCTTCCTCTTAGTGGTTTTTCTATGCAGTGCCTATTAAAATAGTTTTATTTTGTTTGTTTGCTTATGATATCACATTTGCAGGACCATTGCTTAGGTTTCAACGAAACTTTAGGAAACAGCTTTAAAATTCATCAGATGTTGGAACCCTTCCTTCCTCTCTCCCACCTCCCTTCCTTCTTTCCTTCCTCACTTCAAACCTTTCTTTCCTTCTTTCTCCTCTCTCTTTCTCTCTCTCTCTCTCTCTCCTTCAATAAATGAGTCAGTGAGTTCAGAACTCTTGTTCAGACCTGGAAGTGCAGGACACTAAGCACTCCACTGGTTGAGCCGCACGTGGATGCAGTAAAAGCAAAAGGATCTACTGTTGCACGACTAGAGCAGTTAAGATCAAAATAACCACTATGTGCCTGAACAAACCAAATTGAGGATTTATAATAACTAATTTAAGTTCTTCAGTGTCAATTATTGTATTCTCATGCTCAGTCACATCTTTGACAACATAAAATTTAATTTCTTCCTTCCCTAGTCTTGACTGAGTAACAGTAGTTGGGCTTTATGACTAAAACAACATTAAGATAATATGTGGTGGCTGACATAGCAGGTTAAGCCACAGCCTGTGATGCCGGCATCCCATATGGGCGCTGGTTCCAGACCTGGCTGTTCCAGTTCCAATCCATCTCCTTGCTAATGGCCTGGGAAATCAGCAGAAGATGGCCCAAGTGCTTGGGCCCCTGTACCCACATGGGAGACCCAGAGGAAATTCTGGGCGTCTGGTTTTGGCCTGGCATAGCCCTGTCCATTGCAGCCGGTTGGGGAATGAACTGGTGGATGGAAGATTTCTTTCTCTCTCTCTCTGTAACTCTGCCTTTCAAATAAATAAATCTTTAAAAATAAAAGATAACATTTGATCACACAGCTCTAGGTGTCATTTGCTCTTCAACTTTTCCAACCATCGTACGATGGAAGATTCCTAATGAGGCCAAGACTGAGCAGTCAGGAAAAAGAGCTGGCTTGCAAATTATGCAAATCACAATAAAGATTCATCTTTAATTCCTTGCCCAAGAAAGTCTGACAGACCTGACTTCAATATTGGTTTATTATGTCACAGCCATGAATTTTCAACTCACAAACCAACCAAATTAACTTTCACTTAAAATCAAAATTATTCAACATTTGATTTTAGGAAAAAATAGTGGTGAGGATTGCTTTTTATCTCTGTAGGAATGTTTTTGCATTGTGATTTCCCTGACAGTTTGTCAGAGAGGGTGTTTGCATGATGTTGGCCAGCAAAATCCTTATGGTTTGGTGTAGCAGTATCTTCCAACGAGCCGACACCTTCCACCTTAGTCCTTAAGCACACAGCTGACAAAGCAAGACAAGCCCATATTTCACATTAGCAACACACTTCATGAATGATTCTTACTGCATTGAAATTTGAAACTGATTGAGAACTGCTGTAACTTAAAGCATCCATTGTAATTTACTGAAAGAATGACTCCTATAAACAACACAAAATAAAATGTGCATATTTATGATTTAGGTTAAATTTTAGATTTCTTTTTAGTCTATGTTTGAGAGACTTTGTTTACACCTGCTGTGGCATTTTGTACTTAAAATGTAAATTCCTATGACAATAATGTTACTATGGGAATTTCTTTTTGCTGATTGTTAAATGTTTTTGTCACTGCAACCATATTTGTGGGAATTTGGGGATATTAAAAATGCCAGTGCCCTTAAGGATTAATTCATTGGGAATAATTAATTAATGTATTGACCATGGTTAAAACGCAAAAACTTCGTGTGAGATGTTTTTAATAACCTTACATGTCTGCTCTTTTCAAAGACTGGTTCATGCTTAACGGATCATTTTTTCCTACTTCAGCAAAGACATTACAAGCTGTAATATAGAAATTTTGTATGTACGATTGACCTGTCACCCCGCTGCTGAGAGGATGTGTGAAAATATTTTAACCTTGTGATGTTAGAGTCAATTCTGAAATACTTGTGATCAAAATTCGATTGCGACTGGGAGTCTGTGGTTATCAGTTTATTTAACATTTGTTATCAAGAAATAGTCTTTTTAAAAAGCGAATTGGCAGGTGGAAGTTTCTAACCCGAAAGAATTCTGGGTTTCAGCACAATAAACTGTATTTCATCAGGGCGGATTAACTTTAATTTTTTTCACAATTTATTTAAATGTGGATATTTTTTCATGATACAGAATAAAATGTGCATTTTATGGAATTTGCTTGAATTGGATCTTTGCTGGAAATTGCTATTTTGAATTTGGTTAAATAAATGAAAAGCTCCCCAATACAAAAACATGAAGCAATGAGCTTAAAGAGAAGTCTTTTGATGCATTAACTTTGCAAATGTTATTTTACACATTATAACATTTTTTCCTTTGATAGATTATACTGTTTTGGTATCAGCAATAAAATTAGTGTCTTATAAGAAATTAACAGTTTAAGCTCCTGTAGTAAATCATTTGCATTCGAAGATTCCTCTTTATCATAAAAGATAACAATGAAGTTTAAATAGAATATTTCAGAAACTTTTATTTTAAAATGGATTTTATTCAATCTTTATTAATCCTACTTATAGATCAAAATCCTATTAATATCTTAACATTGTGGATTTGCAAATTCTTAACTGTTTTTGCTGCTACAATGCTATTCATAGGAATTTAGGTGCGCCAAAAAGATGTCTACTCTTAAAGATTAATTCTCAGGGAAATTTAGAGCTACAAAGGGCTTGTACATGAAACAAAGTAACAGTTTTTCTCATTTTGGGAAATATAAACATTTGTGTCACTAGCCCTTATTAAAAAAAAGCTGAAAATGAAATTATAGGAAGGCTTTCCAATATCATTTTGTTTAGGAAAATCAGCAAAATGTGCTATAATTTGATTAGTGAAGAATATGCCCAAGGTTAGCAACCCAGAACCACTAGCAGGGAGAAACACTGGAAATGAATTACCACTATATATTTTGAGAGGGAGGAAGGCAGATATTGGAGTGGGCATGTAATCCCCCAAAATTATCTGTAGAGTGAACAGAGGAGTTTGGAGTTGATTTTTCTCTAAGTCCAATGCCTTTCACATTGTTTTTCCCTTTCCTGAGTTTTCTACACTGTAGCACACACACATACACTCATGCTAGCTAACGCTATTGAAAATGTTGCTGCCCCATCTCTGGGTGTTGCTGAAAACATAGTTGTGTGTCCTACACTGCTATTTTTATAAAATTTTGTGTCTTTTATTTTCCATGTCCTTAAATTAAAGGTGGTATCTTATAAATGGTGCATTCTCTCCCTTTGGTGTTAAGATTGCTTTTGGTATTCCACACTCAGAATGTTCTGCTCATGTCAGCTTTAGAATCAGTACTGGACAGATAACCAGTTTGTTATATCTGGCAGAGTTTAAACATATTGATCAGTTTTCAAACACACACACACACACACACACACATACACAAGACTGAATACCAACCACCCCAGATCACACTGTGAGGAGTAGAAAATGAAGGTTCTGGATTTCTTCTCTTTTCTGGACTCCATGGGTACTTCAAACAGTTTTTTCTCTTGATTCTCCTTTTTGTACCCAAATTTCCATTTCCATCATTCAATACATGTGTGCATGCATGTGTGTGTGTGTTTGGAGACAACATCAATCTTGGTTCTTAAAACTCCCAAGGACTACAAAGGCACTTCAAAAAGTTCGTGGAATCAAACAATAACATTATTTTGGTGCAAAAGTTTTTGAAATTCATGCATATGAGAGACTTTCCAAAAGTTCTTGGAAAATACATATTATGAAAAACTATGCATGGATTTAAAATGTTTTTGCATCAAAATAACAGTATACCCTAACATTCCCATGAAAAGAGAAAATGTGTATCCTATGTTCACTGTTTTTAAATAATGCTGTTCAACATGGTTAGTGACTGGTGGACATTTGCTGGCATCTCATCACTTGAAGTTATTCAACTCACGAACGAACATGACTTCCATGTGTGATATTGCTCTAGGCACAATATTCTGACCATATGCATTTGTGCCCAAAGCGTGGGCCCCAGGTAGGATTGTTTTCCATAGCAGTGACTATCCTGTTTGAAGACTGACAGCAAAGTTCTGTTGAAGCTCTCCCTACTAAAGATCTTTGCATTATTTAACATAGCAGGGGTGCAGGAACAAAACTTGAATTTGAGACAGGGCAGGATTTCAGCTCTTTGATGCCTTTTTAACATTTCCATGTTCTCTGTTATTTTTCTATTTGCTCTTAGTTTCAAAATTGTTAAATAACATGTATATTTTCATTCAGTTCAATATTTCAACACATATATAAGAGCAAACTGAGCAAATCAGTCAACTGGAGTAGTCTCTATTCTTAACAGCCTTTCCCAAAATCTTAGCACTTCTGGTAAGGAGAGAAGAGAGCAGATTTTCAGTCTGGTTCTTCCACTGGCACTTGCATTCATGACCTCCCCTTCCCTGTAGTTTTCCACTCTGCTGTAAGCAGGGGGAAGACAAACTACTCTGCAGGGAACCTTGAGCTGCTTGCCTGCTGAGGAGAAAAGAGAAGACAAAATCCAGATGTCCGTTGGTCACCAGGAAGAAAGGCAGGGTCTGAATGGAGGCGGGCAGGGGGTATTTGCCCTTCAGGACACCAACAGCAAATAAGAAACTGCTAAGCTGGAGGCGTTGCAAGGAGTCTTCCCCCTCCTCTGTTCCTTGTGTAGCCTAAAGTAGTTTGGGATCAGATCAAGGGAGATAATAGCCGTGAAAGTGCTTTGAATAATATAATGGAAGACATAAAGCTTGAGTTTCTCTCTATTTGCCATTGATTTTCCCAGTCATCAGGGTAGATGCCAGAACTTTTTGAGAAGCCATAAATGTCAATAACATGCACTCAAGTTCCAAGTTTACCTTACACATATGTAGAGAAAATTGAGCAGTCTAAATTGTGTCCAGATATGACAACTGGAGTGCCTTTGCTCCCCTGTCACTCGTTAGGGAAAATACACACACCACACATACCCTCTCCTCCCCTCCTGTACTTTAGGAAATAAAATATCTTTCAAAAGCACCCGTTAATGTATGGTCTATGTAAAAAATGTAACCCTAAATTCATTAATCTGAAAATTAAATTAAAATTCCCTGCAGAGCACCTTTTCACTTTCAGAATTAATTTCCAATATCATGCAGATTTCTTTATACAGATTAGGAGTTAGGTCATGTTCCAGAATTCTTCCTAGTTTAGACTTCTGAGCTATAAGATAGATCCAAGAAGTTCATGCTAAAGCAGTGGAAAGTCCACTAGATATTGAATTAGTTAAGGATTCTGACCCAGTTTATTTAGATTCACTTCAGAGCACAGTGCTGGAGGTGACAAGGTACATGCTTATTCCTCCATGACACAGGGACTTCATTTCAATAACAGCAACGTCATCTGACCTGCCTCACTTCTCAACCCTGTAGGAGACCCATAACTTCTGCAGCACTTCAAGCATTGTGTTTTGTTGTTACCTTTGTCGTCTTACTGAATTGGCTTTATATGGAACCGACGTTTTCTTTTATATATTTTATGCAGATGAATGAATGAACAAATGGACAGATGGATGAAGGAGGGACAGAAAGATGAAAAGATGTGTGTGCTGACAGATGGACAGATGAATGGGTTGATGGGCTGAGGGACAGTTGGCTGGTTGCATGCGTGTATGTGTCTACATGGATGGAAGTACAGACAGACTAACTTTGACATAAAACTAAGAGTCTATTTTGGATATTTTATGTGGATGGATGAATGGGAAGATGTATGCATGTGTTTATGTATGAATGAACAGATGAATGGATTGACAGATAAGTAGAATTACCTACTATTTATCAGATAGACTAACAGAGACCCTCAATGTAACACTCCTAACTTCCATATTGGAGAAACAAGGCATAGGCTCTGGGTGATACAGAGCCTTATCTAACTTCAGAGAGCTGGAAAGTACCAGAAAAGTTTCAAACCCAGATCTCTGACTCCAAATCAAGTTTTTATTTGCCTCAAAGTGACTCTCAGACCCACATGAGGTAGACGGTTTTCGTGTCAGCACTCACAGAAAAAAAAAAAAAAA